TTTTAATTTTATTGCTTACTATTTCTTAAATTAACATGAAATTTATGTTAAGTCTCGTGTTAAGTATAGTTAATATAAACTATTGTTTTATATCATTAAAGATACTTTTATAATAGGTATTTATGAATATTTTATCAACAAATAGTAAATGTTTTAGGGTTGAATACAATCATGTAATACAACTTTAAAAGTATATATTTTTATTTATGATTTACAGAAATAAAATTATGGGTAGTCCACCAAGAGAATGGGAACACAGTGAGGACATTTTGGAAGCAGAACAATTATTCACTAATTATTTAGAAAGAAATAATATAAATATTATAGGTGAGAATAGCTAGTTTATACAGTCAATTCGCGATAACTCAAAGTTGAATGAGGATAAAAATTCCCTTTGAGATATCTAACTGATTAACAGGGTAGTAAAAACAATTAAGCTATCAAGTTTTCCGAATTATCCAGGTTTAAGTTGCAGCGACTTGACTGTATTTTATATTTTAATTACAGTAACTATTATTACCATCGTGGTATAGATGTACCCGATATTTTGGCTGCTGGCCTAAGAATTACTTCACACATTTTTCCTTTAGCTCCACCAGTACCACTAGCGATTCCAATAGAAGAATTATATGCAGAAGATCCAGTATCTGATGCAGTTGATGAAGATGATGAAGATTATGAAAATTATGCAGATTATTCAGATTATGTAGATGGAGATGATGAAGTTTATGAAGTTAGTATATGTCTTGTCGTATTATTACCTTATATTCAATATGTGTTATGCATAATATAAAAAATGAAGTCTATTAAGTAATAAATTTAGTTTTATATTTATATAGGTAGTCTTAACTATTAAAATGTCATAAATTTAGTTTTAAAAATAATATATATATTTGATATTAGRTATTTTCAATTTTTGTTATTAATTTGTTAATTAATTTTCATAACAAATCATTAATTTTTATTCAGGGTTCTCCTTCATCAAGTATTATCTTAGTGTCAAGTCATCAAGCAATGCAAAGATCYGGAAGATTTTCAGATTCATATGATTCAGATGCAGATTCCATAATGGGATTTCCTATAGACCCTCCAGCAGGATCTCCAGTAGGATTTCCTATAGAATCACCAATGGATTCTCTAGCAACATCTCCAGAAACTTCTCCTGAATCATCTGTAATGGGATCTCCGGTTGGATCTCGAGCTACATCTCCTATTAGGTGTCCTGCAACAACTTCAGCTTCAACTTCTTTAAAACGAAATTATGACGGTAAAATACATATCTTCTTAAAAAAATTGTATTCTAATATATTTTTTTTTTATTTTACAATACTGCACRAACCCTTTAATAACATGAATATGAAAAATATTATTTTGCTTTATGATAAAGAGGCTCATGTTATTAAATAATTACCTAATATAGAATCTTAATCATATTTATTTTAATTTCATTTAATTCCTAGGAAATTCAAAAACAGAAGATGAAGCGTTTTCCTGTTCAATATGTTTAGATACTTTGACTAACACTGGTTTGCATAGACCTGCTTGTTTGAAATGTGGTCATATTTTTGGAGAGAATTGTTTACAAAGATGGATTAAGGTTAATAGCCTAGCTTAAATAGTAATTTTTTTTACACATGTTTATATTTTTATAATCTCGTTTATTAGACTGGATGTAATAGAGATGCAAAAAGATGTCCAACATGTAACAGAAGAGCAAATGTTAAAGATATTAGAGTTTTATATGCAAAAAATCTAATTGCAGTTGATACAGCTGAAGTAACTGCACTTGAACTTAAAGTGGAAAAAGTATGAATAGTTAAT